TTTGTTCGATTAGTGAGTAGAAAAATATCGAAAAGACCATAAGAAACCATGAGTGTTACTCTGGACTCATGTCAATGATACCAGTGAAAAACGCTGTCAGTGTTGGGATAGAGGCGACAATGTCGTTTTCAGTGTGCAGGAGATTCGCTCGACTGCACAAACTGATGATTTGCGCGGATGATAATGTCGTCAGGTCACGTCGGGCTCACCACCAGTGTAGTTCACCAGCGTGGATGATCTATGTCGAAATGATTGGAGGCTTACTCGAGTTAGACGTGAGTGGTGTGACAAACTAGCTAACGTCGAAGTCACACTTCGCGGTCTGCACCTTACATAGATTACCCCATTGACGTATCAAGGTACTATAGATGCTTTGAAGACTGTACAACACAAAGGACGTTATTACAGAAATATATTAGTTAAAGTAGATACAAGCGAAGGTAAGACCACTGCCGCATGGGCCAGTCCATGGCGTACGATTAACTGATGCGCGTTGGTTGTCCTTGACATTGACGAGGATTGATGATTTTGTTCGATATTCAATGGCTAGGGCTCAGTGGAATTTCACTGGCCCTACAATACTCCCCCACCAGATTCAACGGCCGTTTGAATCGGTACCAAACATGTCGGTAGTCACGCGTCGGAGATTGCCAAACGATTAATATGAATCCTCAGGGTATTGCCGAGCAGCAAAACAAATGGAAACGAGGCGGCAGAAACTGATCGAGAAACAGCAAGTAATAATATGTTAGTAGAACGTTGGTTGAACGTAAAGCCATTAACCATAGAAATAATAAAAGAACTTAACGTCGCGCTGAAGTATATAGCTTTGACAAGTAATTGAGTTTCTCAGATGAGAAACATTAACTTTGCCGCAAGAGCAATGATGCTATAGCGATAGTAGGATAAGTGTATTATCAATCGATACGGATGTTTTACTGCCATTGATTTAAAGATGAATGTCAGACAGCGTCGTTGACAACTTCTAGCTATATCTATATTTAACAGACTAACTGTAAGTACAGAAGTATAGTCGTGAAGAGTAATCGTGATTTCGTCATGCGAGGCTATTAATCCACTTGTAGTCAGTTTTGAAAGTCGGTGACTGCTGTTACAGTCAGTAAGGGTCGAAGGCTACAAATCCAGAGCGAAGACGGCACTGTGAAGTCTCCAAAAGATGATAAACGATGCTTGCTAATTGTTTGTTCGATTAGTGAGTAGAAAAATATCGAAAAGACCATAAGAAACCATGAGTGTTACTCTGGACTCATGTCAATGATACCAGTGAAAAACGCTGTCAGTGTTGGGATAGAGGCGACAATGTCGTTTTCAGTGTGCAGGAGATTCGCTCGACTGCACAAACTGATGATTTGCGCGGATGATAATGTCGTCAGGTCACGTCGGGCTCACCACCAGTGTAGTTCACCAGCGTGGATGATCTATGTCGAAATGATTGGAGGCTTACTCGAGTTAGACGTGAGTGGTGTGACAAACTAGCTAACGTCGAAGTCACACTTCGCGGTCTGCACCTTACATAGATTACCCCATTGACGTATCAAGGTACTACAGATGCTTTGAAGACTGTACAACACAAAGGACGTTATTACAGAAATATATTAGTTAAAGTAGATACAAGCGAAGGTAAGACCACTGCCGCATGGGCCAGTCCATGGCGTACGATTAACTGATGCGCGTTGGTTGTCCTTGACATTGACGAGGATTGATGATTTTGTTCGATATTCAATGGCTAGGGCTCAGTGGAATTTCACTGGCCCTACAATACTCCCCCACCAGATTCAACGGCCGTTTGAATCGGTACCAAACATGTCGGTAGTCACGCGTCGGAGATTGCCAAACGATTAATATGAATCCTCAGGGTATTGCCGAGCAGCAAAACAAATGGAAACGAGGCGGCAGAAACTGATCGAGAAACAGCAAGTAATAATATGTTAGTAGAACGTTGGTTGAACGTAAAGCCATTAACCATAGAAATAATAAAAAGAACTTAACGTCGCGCTGAAGTATATAGCTTTGACAAGTAATTGAGTTTCTCAGATGAGAAACATTAACTTTGCCGCAAGAGCAATGATGCTATAGCGATAGTAGGATAAGTGTATTATCAATCGATACGGATGTTTTACTGCCATTGATTTAAAGATGAATGTCAGACAGCGTCGTTGACAACTTCTAGCTATATCTATATTTAACAGACTAACTGTAAGTACAGAAGTATAGTCGTGAAGAGTAATCGTGATTTCGTCATGCGAGGCTATTAATCCACTTGTAGTCAGTTTTGAAAGTCGGTGACTGCTGTTACAGTCAGTAAGGGTCGAAGGCTACAAATCCAGAGCGAAGACGGCACTGTGAAGTCTCCAAAAGATGATAAACGATGCTTGCTAATTGTTTGTTCGATTAGTGAGTAGAAAAATATCGAAAAGACCATAAGAAACCATGAGTGTTACTCTGGACTCATGTCAATGATACCAGTGAAAAACGCTGTCAGTGTTGGGATAGAGGCGACAATGTCGTTTTCAGTGTGCAGGAGATTCGCTCGACTGCACAAACTGATGATTTGCGCGGATGATAATGTCGTCAGGTCACGTCGGGCTCACCACCAGTGTAGTTCACCAGCGTGGATGATCTATGTCGAAATGATTGGAGGCTTACTCGAGTTAGACGTGAGTGGTGTGACAAACTAGCTAACGTCGAAGTCACACTTCGCGGTCTGCACCTTACATAGATTACCCCATTGACGTATCAAGGTACTACAGATGCTTTGAAGACTGTACAACACAAAGGACGTTATTACAGAAATATATTAGTTAAAGTATATATGCATACACGAAGCTAAATAAGTATAATAAATCTACACTGCTCAATACCTGACCGATTACATATGCGAAAATAAAAAATAGGTGTACGTGGAAGATATTAGAGCAAAGAATGGACCAAATGTAGCATCAGATTATCATATATGTTGAAGAATTGTAGAAGCAGAACTATATGAGTTTCGCACAGCCTTACTCATACATGCTAACGAGTTTAAAATATCTCTCAGTAACGCGCTTGAACCCTCACACGATCTATTAGATAACGCCAGTATTGAGAGAGATTATGAAAAAATCAAAGTGTTGACCATACCAAATCAGGGGACTCCAGAAAAGTCTACTGGAGGCAGAAAAACACAAGTGCATTAACAGGAGCACCATCCACATTTCATCGAAACATCGTTGGTCGAAGTTAGTTCAGGAGTATCAAAGGTCACATGAACAATCCGTGTCTCATTTACTTAAATTCCATACGAGTGTGCTCTGAGATTATGAAAACGAACTTATGAATATATTGAGAAATTGTTAATAACAAATAAGACTGGAAAATTCATAGAAAATATTTTGCTCAGTGTAATACCACCCAGAAGAAACTAACATTAGGTCATCCACGGTAAAAATACTCAGATATACACTGCAGGAATATTTCCACAAGAACCCACGAGATCGATTGGTGTGACGGCAAATAAGGACTCCAGCGTTACATTCAGGTCTTTGAGGAATCGCGGCTTAGTCTAAGGAGCGAGTGTCACTTGGTTTAATCATTGATTTGCACTGCCTAAACAGGACTGGTGAGTTCCTGAGGTACTTACAAATTGACTTTCTATAAGTCAATAAAACTGTTGAGCATAAAGCAGTTGAGTAGCCAAGGCCGAGAAAATTAGCTGTCTGGTTTGTAAAACTGTAATCTATTTCTAACATGGAAATTAACTCAATTAGTGTGAGAAGATAATGTTCTTAGAAAAATGCCGATCAGGTATGCTTTTGATCGCCTGCATGAGAGTAGACAGCGTTTTTTGGGAATCTCCCTTTATATTCCGTTAGTTTTGAGGCCAGTTTATATGTTAACCACCTCTTTGATTTTCAACTGTCACTTCGCGAAAAATAATTTTAAATTAGAGAATCTCCACAAAACCCCTATGCAAACGACACAAATTGGGTGGTAACCGATACACCCATAATCATTCTTTTTCGAGTAAAACTGAACTGTACAAACTTGATGCTTGCTTTGTTATTGAAAAGATCCCTCTTTGAAGAAATGATGTGAGTTTTCGAACACAGTCCAAGACTGTCATTCACCACTGAATATTTTTTGATACTCCTTACTTTCTGGATATAATTTTAAAATATAGTTGTTAGGTTGCTATGATAATTCGAAGTAATTGAATTATAGTATGAACTAAGAATCCCAGGGATAACGCAATTGAATCAAGAAGTACTACACAAGCACTAACGAATGTACTGTATTTAGAATTCGAAATCAAACATTCAACAAGTACAAAGGAGTCATTAGTTCATTCAAACACTACAGTTGCCGAAATTAGGATTTATGTCGCAGAACAAGTTTTTAGAAATACTAATCTACGTATCATTTGAAGTGTATAAACGCCGCTGGACAAAATGCAAACAATTTTCAACTTTCTTGAAGTCTAACCACAGGCTTATTGTAATTATCTTCAATTACCTGCGCGATGGACTGCGTTCATAATCGAACATGCGAAAGCACTAGGTTAACATATTCGTTTTCGACGCTATAAATACTTCATCAGGATAGTCTTATTATTTTCTATCAACAAATTGTATTGGTGAAACAGTGCTCTCCAGAATTCAGATGACCAAAGAACCACAAACTGATGAATCTAACCGAAAAACTTTCTTCTAGCTTTCTAAGTGTCGACCTGAAAGATGCAGTACTCGCCCTAAGAATAGTCAATTTAGTATGAAAAAGGTAAGTTTTGACAGACGTCTACTGAAATGAAAAATATTATTGCAAATAACTGGTAACCACCAAGCAGGGATCTACAAAACATCTTGATGTAAATGTACATATTTCAACTGTGTGGCTTAATGAATATTACACTAATAATCAGAGCCTATCACATTGTCAATTATACTGATCACACTTCATAGTTAAACGTCTCCTCAATGAGTTAGCAAAATAACAACCACGTATAGAAAACACAAAATTTGATATTTATTTCTTGGTGCATCTTATATACACAACGTTAAGGAAACACACAGAATATACGAAAACATAAAACAGAATGGATAAAAAAGTAGCGAGCTAAGAATGCTGTTCAAGTTCTGGATTCCCCATCTCTATTTCATCGTCATTGTATATATTCTCAGCCTAAAATTGAATTAAATGTTTAAAGAACACAATGGATATGACTAGCTTTAAACTAAAGAAAAATAGAACGAAACAAATGTATTTTATGTAGAATAGATGGAATTTGGCGGGTAGCATAATTCTGAACTCGCGTGACGTCCTATTTTGAACTTGTCTGCCGAATGTATCTGCATCTGAGAGTCAATAGTTCACTTCATGAAGTGTTATTCACTTAGCCACTGCGTCCAGATAGCCATTCATTTGTACAACAGGTATGAATTTTTAATTTAATTTGTCATGGCTCGGATTGTCTAGTTGTTCATATTTCGACCAAATTTTGACCGATCAGTGAACATCGACTCTGAGATTTACGGATATTCAGCTGACAAGTTCAATATAGGACGTAACGCGTGTCCTGAATTATACTCCTTGTCAAATTCCATATATTCTATATAATTTTGAGATAATGGCTACATCGAGGAAATCCGCATAGGATGCACATATGCCGGCTAAGACTGATCAGAATTCAGTCAAAAATATCAACAACGGGATAATCCAATTGATTACGATTTAAAATAAAAATGTATTTTATGTATTTATTGATCAGGCTTTTCATCTTATATGACTAGTCGATTTCTCGAGAACTGTTCTACCATTTTTGCATTTCTATATATAAATTAAACGAAAATGAGATTAATAGCGTCAAACCAACGTTAAATACTAAGTTCGGTTAAGATCTAACGCCTCAAATGCCCTGGTACGGAGAGTCAGCTTTCCTTCTCGAAATGGTCTCACATGGACACGTGCATACAACCGCCGCCAGGGAAGTCCTACTCGCTGCCTCTCGCGGCAGGGGTGTTGTTTACGAAAATGAGAGGACGAGAAGCGAATGTCTGGCGCTTTAACCGGGTTAGTGGACGCGAGGAGTCCACTTAGGGGGGTTGGAAAACCCTGATTCCAAACCAATGATGCACATGGGCTCCAGTATCCTGAGGGAACAAATGGCGTATGAAACAATTATTGGACACCGGTTACCATGGGATCTTTAGGTCGAAGGTTCCAGATGTGGCCCACTAAGAAAACCACCTGCTTCGGTTTGGGCATCCGGGCAGTATCCTAGCCCTAACACAAATCGAATGATTGGTGCGACGCATATTTATTTGGTGCCTCCTTGTACCAATGTTTATGTGTTTAAACAAATAAATAAAATAAATAACATAGATACCAAACACCTAGGAATCTAAAGACACTTTAACTGTTTGACATTAATGCACGCATAAACTCTTTAGAAGTTTACGAATAATTTTATCACTGGATTTATTTACTTTACAGTGAAGAGTTGAGTAGGCATAATGAATAATAACTCATGAGGAAAACTCTAAAAATGTCACGTCAACGTTTCATAATAAACGGATCTAAATGTTGTGTCAAATAGCGGTGGATTAGTGATTGAATGACCCAGTCTTTAATCAGTGAGACGGAAGTTTTAATGACTTTTAACTTAATTTAGTTTGAACAGTTCCAGTTTCTTTAATCTTCACTCAGTGTGGCTCAAAGTCGAATACAAAAACGTGTACTTGGTAAATAAGTTAAATTTAGTATGACTATTTTTGTGTCAAATTCAACTTCATAAACTGAATGCATACGAAAAATTAACAATTTACCATTTGCCAGATCTGTAAAATATTATCCTCAGATACAGAGCAAATAGCCCACGGATCATTAATATTCCACGAAAAATCTGAAATCTTTGCTGTATGTCCAGCATGAATGAACAATAACTCAGGAGGTCCATCATCCGCATCTTCAGCAGTCTGATCAATACCTATTTTACTTAAATCCCAGACATGAAGACGACGATCAGTCCCTGAGCTTGCCAATATAGTTTCATTATGTGGAGACCACTGGACCTAATGAAAATACACCACAAATGGTTTTAAAATAATCCAGATTCAACTTTTCATTAAAGTGACTTTTAGTGAAATACGTTCAGGCGATACAACCATGTTTATACTAAACATCAGTAACACTTAAATGGAAAATGAAATCAGCTGAATACCAATTTTCAGAAAAAAGATCGTTTTCACAGTATTGGGGAATTGTTCGCCTTAACTTTACTAGCATTGTGCTTAATGTTTGACTTCAATTCAATGGTCTCAAGAAGCAATATATTTTGTAAAATTTTAAATTACGTTGAGAAGTCAATGCACTACTGTGTTGCGAGCAGCCTAGTTTTCTAATACGATGACGCTAGAAAATTATTGAACAGTCTTTTCCAAGCAATATTATTCTGTTTTTCATTTGAACATACCTGAAGAATTCTAGTTTAGCATATTTCATTTATGATTATCCATCTGGTATTTTGTCAATGTTCAACGTAAGCTGATTTATTGTAATGTTTTAACTATCGGCTTAGTAAGGATAAAAGCAAACTTATCATTTAGAAATAAACCTTGAATGGCACATCATGCAAAGTTGTGAACACAATTATTCACTTTTCAAACGAACCAATAAATTATACGAATATGTAACGATAAAAGTTACTCATATGATTATCTTATTTAGCTAATTCCTACTACTCTAAGATATATCTAACAATGATATCTGGATCGTTTTTAAGAACAGAAAGAAGGTTTGATGCTGAAATCAAACAGATTAGGCGAGCTACGTTCCTAAAAGAGTAGTTACATCAATTAGATGGTCGCTACAAAATACTGTAATTGAACACAGTCCAGTAAAATCAAATAGCAAGAACATAAAATAGTAATATTAAAAGCTATAATATTTCATCACCTTTCTCTTTACCTTTAACTCAAAGCTAAAAATTATCGACAAACCAAGGAGTACTATCAATCAGAATGTGAGTTTGTATAACGTAGTGAATACGTTGACAAAACAAATAAACTCATGTGATAATTGGGAAATTTCAAAGATGCATTTAAAAAATACTGAATTTCTACCTGAAATATTTCATCCCGATGAGATTCAAATGAATGTAGCTTTAGCCGAAGATTACGCAGATCCCAGAGAGCAACAGTCTACAGATATTTTTGGATAAAAAAATCTTATATTAAAGGCATTGGTTATAAATAGCAAATAACACCTGATTTCAGATAACTGAAATATTTTAAAGCCAACTGTATCTTGGAACGGATGGGGGATCATGATATTAATATAAGAGTGGTACACATATACTCCAATATACAGCTCGGTTTCATAACAGAACAATAAATTCATTTACCGAACATCTGACAAAATAATCGATGTAGAAACAAACACAATAAAATTAAGTATGATTAATTAGTTAGTCCCCGCTCAACTAAGTAATAAAACTACATAACCACAGTAAAATAATTAACTGCACTAATGTTACTCTAGTACACTTATAACCAAAAAACAATCTTGTACCATGTACACCGTTGTTGCTACCTTGACGTGGTAGTCGGGCTTGCCTATCGTGATGAAGCAACTGAGCTATACTGGCTGGAACAACCGTTCCTCAAGGTCCTACCATGCCAGACAGGTCGGTTGAAGAGCGGTAAGACTAAAAGCAACAAAACCAAGGTCCGAAGGCGAAGTCGTACTGCTGACTGTACAGAGGTGTGACAGCAGTAAGGTGTTTCCTTCAGACAACCAGCATGACAGCGATGCTGCCTTCCCACAAGGAGGGGTGGGGTTAGAAAAGGTCGACCCTAAAAATGCACACCTCGCCTTATCCCACGGATATCCGTCTCCGGCGGTAAGGACTCAACAAGTACGGAGCTAACACAAAAATCACTCATAAAAAGGTCGTGTGTGACCGACCTCAAGCAGCTGTCCCTTGGGCACTGCGGTCACGCTCTCAGGTCACTATGACCAACTCTAATCCAATTTCCTTTTCAGGTACCTCCAGAAGAACCCTTCCACGGTGTGGGCAACCGGGAAGTGATAACCGCCCTCATACCTCTAACAGCACTCAAGACCACTGACTGACACATCAATAAATTCAAACAACATTTATTTCTCTCTTTCTTGTTGGATGAATCATAAGTAATGAGAATATTGGTCCTGAAAACAAAGACTATCCCAACGAAGTACAGTCAGTTCATTTGAAGTTGATTGAGAATCAACTTCTTTTAAGATGGTTTACGGAACAAATAAATTAACAAGAGCTTTGTTAATCTGAAAACTAATTAACTAACTAACTAACTAACTAACTAATATATATATATATATATATATATATATATATATATATATATATATATATATATATATATATATATATATATATATAATAAAACGTTTGCTACGTATGCAGAACCGTCGCCTACTTTAAAGTGCAAGGATGGTTGGTGTAAGAATAAGTTGGAAGAAACCTGGGAGAGGACAAACTACAAAGTGGTTACAGTTCATGAGGTCATACTGTTACACTGAACCGTGTAAGTAGATATAGATAACCTGGTTAGTACCCGAACGATCTTCGTAACCAGTGGTTGGAGATGTTAGATGACATCGTTCAGAGCCATTCGCAATGGCCCAGGTTCACTCACTCTTTGTATTCCTTTAGAGCATGAGTCCTGATATCTTATACACTTTTTAAGCATGTAAACGTTTTACTACTGCTACCGTTGATTTTGTTACCACAGCTACTAGTCCGGAAATTACCTTTTTAATGTTATATCACTGTGCTGATGTGATGTTGCAACTTGAACCGATTTACATGTGGCATGTTCTATGCTGAATGTGGCTGTCCGAAGGACATGTACTAATGCTGATTACATTTACAGAACGATTATCACAGTCTCCAAGTTTATCGCGAAGTAGGTGAATGACTTGAATCTGCAACCTAACGACCGAAAGCTCAATACTTTTAAACTCTAAGCCACAGCACTATAGTTAATTTTACTGAATGGGAGAGGACTAAATTGGACTCATAAAAATAAATATTCACAAGTTTCGCAACATTGTTGACTTAAAAAACCAATGATATTTTCTCATGAATGTTATTTGGTTATTCATGTTTAAAAAGCGATACGAGAATAAAATACTTAATTACTTTGTCCGCACTTCCCGTTGCAATAATAAACTCAGAAAACGGATTAAAAGCAAGACAATTGACTTCGGCTGTATGAGCATCTACTTGGTGCTGAGGTTTTGTACGATTTGAACTCCGTGTATCCCAAACCATAAGTTTGTTATCATCTGCTACTGAACCAAAAATGTGTCCATGGAAAAGATGCCAAGAAACATCCTCAACTACTGAATGATGACCCGTAAAGATAGCCATCGCATCTAGATCACAGCCATCTAAAGGAGCAGCATTAACATCCCATAAACAAATTGTCTGATCATCAGATGCTGAAAGGAGATGACCATTAAGAGACACATTCCATGAAAGACCATAACCTTCTTTTTGATGACCCTAAAATGAAGACCGAATAGAAAAGCAATGCATTTGCTCAATAGAAGGAACACGTAATCCAGTATAACATATTAATTGGTCTCACAGTAAATGGAGAAAAATCCAAGACAGTTTGGTAGTTATGTGAAACTAAACTCCACGTGAGTTATTAGAACTTACGAACTTTATGGTTAAAGTAAATTAATCAATATACCAATCAAGAAATTTTATGCAACATTGTTGAAAATAGTCAACCTCCTCCCAAAATAAAAATCCCAAATATGGTTTGTCTAACAACAGAGTACAAGAAAATAATACGAGTCTTGAAGTCGAAAACAGCTACTCATTTACCGGTTCATCTGTCAGATGGCATCTGAACTTTAAAGTATGTCTCAGGATAGACTAAGTTCAAGATTTACTTGAAAATAATTTCATACGGTCACATATTAATAATTTTTGACCACCATCTAGTGGTAATTATTTTTCTCAAAACCTGCTATCTGGCACTGAAACAGAATTCATCAAAAGAACACTAATTACGCACTGATGATAACTATGAAATTTCCTGGGAAGAATTTCACATAACTACATTATTCTTTGATTAATTTCATGCTTATATGTCTCTTCCTTTATATCTTCATAATGTTATGGTATTCTGAAGTATATTTCTTAATCCAAATGTTTTAAGTTTGTGTAAATGATAACTGATCAAGAGATATTTCCACCTGGATGTTTTTTTCAATTTGAGGCAGTTGATTATCGTACATTTCCTCTACCAGACTAAATCAGAGTAGAAACTTCTGAATGTATCTTTCTTGGTTTAACGTAGGCAATAGAATTATGATATATTTATTTTCAGCACTGTATTGCATTGACATAAGATAATTGTGCACATGAGGCTGGTGTTTCGTAAACACACTCAACGTAAAAATTATCAAATCTTACTATGTTTTGGTTCGAATTTATTTTCGATATTTCCAATTGTGATAAAAGATGAACAGAGCATTTTTCTCATAATAGTTTGAAAGCCCTAAAATGTAACAGAACATGTAGATGGACATTCCTCTATATAAAAAGGACTACCGACTTATACGTTAACTTGAAAACCAAACATTATTACACAGTTATTTTCTTTTAGTGAATAGTAAAAATAAGAACCTTGAGATGAAAAATATTCTGTCATGTATAACAACAATTATCACTCTCATGCTCATGAATTACAGCGAAGCGAGTAAAATCTGAGATACCAGATGTTCCCAGAAGTAGAGAGTGGTGAAAACCGACTGGCCTGATTTCATGATTTGTTTTGTGTGGTCACATATACTTTAATATATACTGGATTAAGAAAGGGGTAATAAAAAAAGATAAACACCAATAATATCGTACCTTGAGACGTAAATCAGGTTGGCAACCACGGTCTGATGGAGTTTTCGGTGGATGTCTTGGATAATTAAATATTAAAACATCACCACTTGGTGTTTTGGTAGCTATTATGTCTGGGTTCTGTGGCATAAACCTAGCACGATTGACCTCGCCTTCATGATTTATTTTCATTGATATTTCCAACTTCCCAGATGGAAAATAAAATCCCCCGAAATCACCTCGTTCACTATCATAAGCACTTGCATCAAACTCTGCCTGGTCATTCGGTAGATGAACCGTAACTATCAACAAATGATTTTGCTCATCAGATGTGTGAGTCCCGAGTATTAAACGATGAACGGAATAATCTCGCCCAGTCCTGTAGAACATTATTTGAGAATACTACCTACCTTTCCACAGATGGCAACCACTGAGCAGTTAAACTTGGCCATTCCAAGCAGTGTGACATCAGCATATCGTACAAGAACGGAGTATTCCTTTTCCATATCTTGTATTCTTCATTTATTACTCTCTCTTCGACAATATCTTCAGAATCTGAAGGATGCAACTGTTATTTTTGATTGAAGTAGTTATTAAGTTAACTTACCATCATTTTTATTATAGAATACGCTTCAGAAACGGTGTAACCCCCTTTGAACAATTACACAAATGCTTTGTCAAGTGTAAACGGTCTTGGAATACAGAGAACATGAGAGGAATTAGAAAAGAATTACGAGTATTCTAACGGTAAAACACAAAACTATGGGAAGTAGAATTTCCATCGTTGTACATCGAAAGTAAAGTGTAGTTATTACATGCCCAATACTAGTTTCCTAAACCGCATGATGAATAATACAAATTTATGTAATCGGCTTTGAGCAACACTTATGTATAAGGACAACTGACAAAAAATACTCGGTTGCTCAAACGGATGTACATTGAGGACGAGGGTTAATCAGAAAAACAATGGCTCAGAGTCAAGAACTTCGACGACTACGCTACCAAGTCGATAATCTAAATAGAAATTATAAATACGAAATATGCTTTCCTAAAGAGCTTACATTATTTGTATTATTTACAAAACAATGTTAGGATAATAAACGTAAAATGAATTTTAGGCATTCGAAACAGTCTCTTCGTATGTGAAGCGGTAAGTCAAACATCTGGGACATTGAATTTGCAGGTTAGAAACCCACTCTATTTACTTCGATTTGAGAAAAGTACCATATAGATGTGATTCAAACCTTAGCACACAAACCTGTACCTTATTACAGAGTTAATATTTAACTGGGATGCAACAAACATATTATGTAGCCAATTCTTGGACACCGTGAAAATGCATAAAACAGGAGTCTTAATTTAGTTCGGCGGGTTTGTACAATCACTAACCAGAATACCTTGGATGGTTTAGGGTTACCCAGCTGTGAATCAAGTTTTCTAACATTAAGTCATGTTTTAACATTCCGAATCAGACAGGATTTTAAAGATTTACACGTGCGAATAATGAGATAAACCATCGAACAGTAACTGATACACTGCCAGAATTATTTGTTGGAGGCCTTCATAACCACTAATAAAAACAAGGATCTAACTAAACTACTAGTTACTGAAGAAACTGCCTACAGACAGATTTCATCAAACCTTTATGCCCCCAAAAGTGATTGGCCACCTTTAACCTTTTCGAAAATAAGTGCTGTTTTCTAAAAATACCACTGCTATACCTAAACCAGTACTTTGAATTTAGTTTTTATTCCAGAAAGACAATGGCTTTATAAATTTTATTTATCTCTCCCGCTGTACATGCCATTGTAACCAACCCATATTATAGACCCAATATAACTAGCATATTTGAGTATTATCGCATAATTCCTGTGTAAAATTCAAGATTGAACTCTTCAGTTATTTACAACGTAGGACCAGGCACATATATACACTGGTCCAAGTTGCCACACCTCATTAGCACAACAAAGTGGACACCAAAATGATAGAAACCATTGCTTCAACGATAATAAAAAAATTTCATATAAGGATACAGGGAGAAAGAATTAGTTCGTAGAAAGATATGAAGAAGTTTTAATCTCACGGTATAAGGGAAGACAAAAAGCTTATACACCCACGAAAGTGATCTGTTTGGGGCCATGTCACCCAGTCTCCAGCTACTATTTACGTTAATCGCGCGGGCCCCAACCAAGTAGTTTGCATTTACATATATGGCTCAGACCGGAATTTAGTGACTTTGTAGACTGACGACATGTTTTGGTTTGGGCGCCCCTAACTTTCTTCCAGCCATCCCCAACACTAGTCAACACTGCATGTCGTGGTAATCGGTGTTCAGGCATACGCAACACGTGGCCCAACCATCTCAGTCGATCAAGATTCATAACCTCATCAACTGATTTACCATCATTCCCTAATACCCTGCGTCTAACCTCACTATTACTTACCCGGTGATCCCAGCAGATACCAGCAATATTTCTAAGGCATCTGTGGTCAAATACTAGTAACTTACGAATATCTTCTACTCTTAAAGGCCATGTTTCGCAGCCGTATAGTAGAACGGAACGAACTGCCGAGCAGTATACTCGTCCCTTAATTGATAGACGGACATCTCGCCTTCGCCATAGATGACGTAAGTTGGCAAAGGTCAAACGAGCTTTTTGAATCCGTGCTGAGATTTCGTCAGACACCAACCCATTAGGGCTGATCAGACTTCCAAGATAAGTGAAGTTGTCAACGCGTTCGACTACTTCACTCCCTACCCTTAGTTCAGGTGTTGACGCAGGCCAGTCCTGAAGCAACAACTTCCAGTTAGAGTGAGAGAAACGCATCCTAAATATCCTGGTATTATTGCTGTGTTACCAAAATACTCCGCATTTTATCAATGTCTTCACCAAACAGGACTATATCATCTCCTGACCGTTGTTGCTACCTTGACGTGGTAGTCGGGCTTGCCTATCGTGATGAAGCAACTGAGCTATACTGGCTGGAACAACCGTTCCTCAAGGTCCTACCATGCCAGACAGGTCGGTTGAAGAGCGGTTAGACTAAAAGCAACAAAACCTAGGTCCGAAGGCGAAGTCGCACTGCTGACTGTACAGAGGTGTGACAGCAATAAGGTGTTTCCTTCAGACAACCAGCATAACAACGATGCTGCCTTCCCACAAGGGTGGGGTTAGAAAAGGTTGACCATAAAATGCACACCTCGCCTTATCCCACGGATATCCGTCTCCGGCGGTGAGGTCTCAACAAGTACGGAGCTAACACAAAAATTACTCATAAAAAGGTCGTGTGTGACCGACCTCAAGCAGCTGTCCCTTGAGCACTACGGTCACGCTCTCAGGTCACTAAGACCACCTCTAATCCAATTTGCTTTTCAGGCATCTCAAGCAGAACCCTTCCACGGTGTGGGCAACCGGGAAGTGATAACCGCCCTCATACCTCTAACAGCACTCAAGACCACTGCATTCATAATCAACCTACCTCTTCAATTCCTATTATTCCTCTTACATCGACTTTCAAATCTAAACTCCCTCTTTCGGCCTCCTCCTCAAGTGTCACCACAGCCAACGATTCTAGTGCGCAAAACAGTCCCAGGTCTACTGAAACCTCGCTCCAAACTACACATTGGAGCCTTCAACGTACGCACACTATGCCAAATCGGTCAGCAGGCTTCCTTGGCTAAAATCTTAGAATCTCGTACAATTGATGTATGCTGTGTCTCCGAAACACGCATACAGGATCCTAGTGTGGTTATTCACTTGACCTGACCTCGGCAAAACGGAGTGCCGACGAGATACACCCTCCGTGTATCTGGCGACCCGATGGCTAGTTCTCGTGGACTGGCAGGTGTAGGCATAGCACTAAGCATGAGGGCGGAACAAGCGCTATTAGAGTGGATCCCCGTTAATAGTCGTCTATGTGCTGTTCGGCTAAACGACTCCGTAAGAACTCGAAAGGACAGGGACACATGTCGTTGCCTTTTTGTCGTTTCTGCCTACGCTCCCACTGACTGCAGTTCGGATGAAGTGAAAGATGAATTTTACAGAAAGCTGTCTGAACTTCTTCAGAAAGCTAAACGTTCAGACATAGTACTCGTAGCAGGTGACTTTAATGCCCAGGTAGGTAGCTTAAACGAAACAGAAAGACATTTAGGTGGGTATTTTAGTATTCCGGCACAGAGAACAGATAATGGTGATCGTCTGCTGCAACTGTGCTCAGACAATCGTTTATTTTTAGCAAACACAAATTTTAAGCATAAGGAGAGACATCGTCTAACATGGCGACCCCCTGCACCAAATCAACGATGGACTCAAATAGACCATATTGCCATCAGTCATCGTTGGAGAGGGTCGATAGGAGATTGTCGCTCATTCTGGAGTACCTGCTTGGACTCCGACCATGCCTTAATACGAGCACGCATCTGTTTGCGCCTCACTGGACGCAAAAAAGCCACACAAAAGACTCATTAGAACCGAATTGATTAATGAGAAAACCAAAAGTAGGTTCCAGGAACAACTGAGGTCACACTTAGGTAGTTCTGAAAACGAGGCTGACCCCGATGTTGATTGGAAAGATATACAAGCAGCTGTGGAAACAGCAGTGACATCTACTAGTGATTTAAACCATAGGCTTACAAAGAACCAATGGATTTCTTCAAGGTCTATTGCACTGATAGATTCTCGCAAACTCATCCCATCAGGTTCTGAACACGATGAAGAGCGTAAACAAATCAGATCTAGGTTAAGCAAAAGTCTAAGGAACGATCGTGAGCAGTGGTGGGCAACGAAAGCAAAAGAGATGGAAAAGGCAGCGGCTATAGGGAACACAAGACAACTCTACAGACTAATAAAAGAAACTGGAATTAATAAATCAAGTGTAAGTCAGACTATTTCTGAAAAAGACGACACTCATCTGCTCCCAGTCCAGACGTTTAGAACGGTGGGCGGAACATTCTAGAGAACAGTTCAGTTGGCCTTCAGCTACTCTACAACTACCCTCTATTCCCAGACAGTATGAATGGAACATTGAAGTAGGTCCCCCAACTCTAGCCGAAGTTCAAAAGGCTATAGCTAATCTGAAACGAGGAAGGGCAGCTGGTCCAGATGGATTGGCCCCAGAGGTTTTTAAGGATGGTGGTCTAGTTTTAGCGATTAGGTTGACTAATATTTTAGCTAAAATTTGGGAGTTAGACGTTACCCCATCTAACTGGTCACAATCAATTATCGTCCCAATATTTAAGAAAGGGTCAAAATCATCCTGTGACAACCACAGAGGGATTAGTTTAACTAATATAGTATCTAAAATACTAGCCCCGATAATTTTCGGACGCCTAACTAAGACTCATGAACTGCAAACACGTGAAAATCAGGCTGGCTTTAGACCTAGTCGTGGCTGCATCGACCATATATTCACCACCCGTCAGGTTATCGGCGTCCGAAAATTGTGGTATTCCTTGACTTAAAAGCAGCGTTTGACTCTGTTGACCGAGAGGTTCTGTGGCGGTGTCTGTCATTGAAAGGCGTACCTCAGAAGTACATAAACCTTGTGAAGGCTCTTTACTCGAACACTACTAGTCGAGTCAGAGCTTATGGCGAACTGTCATCTGCTTTTGCAACCTCAAGTGGTGTCCGTCAAGGCTGTCTACTTTCTCCATTTTTGTTTAACTTCATCATAGATCTACTGATGGAAATAA